TTTTTTTGGCAGAACCAGGGATTGAACTCAGGCCCTTGCGCTTGCCAGGTAAATGCTTATTCTACTGAGCTATCTCCCTGGCACCCTGCTCTCTCTTTTTCCTTGCTTCTGAAATAATGAACACATATGCACACATAAATGCATGACCTTTTCATTCTATCCTTCATAGCTTATCTTCTCTTTTATATTTTCCATGCTTTCAGACTGAATTCTCTATCTTTTTCAATGAGTTGACCTTTTATTGCTTAAGTTTTCAGCTGTGAATTATCTGCTATAGGGCCATCCCCAATATAATAATAGAGTTTTAAATTTCAATTATTATATTTTTCATTGCTAAAGTTCAGTTAACTACTTTCTCAGGTTTTATTAGTTCTTTTGTCTTCTATTTCTTGTAACATTTTGAAAATCTTAATGTACTCTCTGAAAATACATCATCTCTGGAATTTATAGTTTCATTATGCTGGCATTTGTTTCCATATATTCTTCCTTTCACTGCCATTAATTTTTGTATGCTGATTTTGTATCTTGAAGCTTTGCTAAATTTGTTTATTAGCTCAGAGACTTTTTGTCTGGTAGAGTTTTGGGGTTTTTTATGTGTAAGACTGCACCATCTATAAGCTGACATTTGCCTTTCTTCTCTTTTAATTCAGATGCTCTTCATTTCTTCCTGTTACCTGATTGCTCCAACTAGGACTTCCAGTACTTGACTGAATAAAAGTGGTAAAGGTGGATGTTATGGTTTGTGTCTAGGTGTCCCCCAAAGCCTCATGCAGTCGTTGGGGTGGCTTCTAGAGTCTGTGATTAATTCATGATCCAATGCTTGAATTATTGGTTTGAGCCCTACCAATAATCAGGAAGATAACCTGAATACAATATGGAGAAAGGAGAGAGGCTTGCTAGCTGCCACAGCTGCTGCTTCTCTATTTGCTCTTTGCTGTTTTCTGCCACCACGAATGGCTGCTCTCTGCCATGTGCCACTCTGCCTTGGAGCCAGCCAAGTATGGACTGAAACCTCCACTAACTGAGCTAAATAAATCTTTTCTTCCTTAATTTGGGGTGTCAGGTATTTTCTCTACAACAAGAAAAGTAACTGAGACAGTGGGCATCTTGTGCTTGTTCCAGATTTTAGAAAGCTTTTAACTTCTCAATCATTGTAATATTAGGTGTTTGCTTATTAAATACGATTTTTATTATGTTGGAGTATACTCTGTAACTAATTTTTTCAGTATTTTCATCAGGAAGAGATGTTAATTTTATCAAATGCATTTTCTGCATCTATGAAAATGATTACATCATTTTTGTTCTTCATTCTGTTAATGTGGTATATATGTTTATTGATTTGCATATGTTGAACAGTCCTGTCTCCCTCAGTTGAATTCCACTTATCTTACTGAATAATCATTTTAAGTGCTGTTAGACTCAGTTAGTCTTTTGTTGAAAAAAATGTACATTTATGTTTATCAAAGATACTAACCTGTAGCATTTTTTTTAATGTCCTTGTCTGATTTTGCTATCAGAATAATTTCTGTCTTACAGAATGTGTTTGGAAGAATTCCTTCCTCTTTTCTTTTTGGAATAATTTAAGAAAAGTTGCTACAAGCTTTTAAATGTCTGGTGGAATTCACCAGTGAAACCATTTTATTCCTGGCTTTTCTTTTATAAAAGGCTTTTAATTACTGATCTTGTTTCTTCTTTCTCTCTAATTTCTGATCTATTTTGTACTACCTATCATTCCTGATAGTTACCTTCTACTTAATTGGATTTGTTCTTACTAGTATAATAGATCAATAAACAAAATAAATTTAGCAGAAACCGTGAACATTTATTGACTTTATGGCACATTCCAACATATTTTTCTTTTCTTAGAAACAAAATATTGTTTGTAGTTATAATTTAGTCATAAACTTTTTGAAGGACAACTTAAAACATTTTATTCTATGTGCAATTCCACATATGTTATTACTATGTGTTACGAAAATAATGACTTATTGTGAAATAAGAAAACTTGTGAAAAAATGCCTTATTTTCAGTGTTTGTAAATTGCTCTCAACAGTCAAATATATATATATATAAGCCAGGAATTGTAATTTAGGAAGAATGTGAGGCGCAAGTCTGGACTCATTTGTTGGGTTAATGATTTTCAGAGAATTGATGCTGATTTCACATCAGAAAAACATTGAGCAGCTGCGGGAAACCCTGAGACAGAAGCTGCTGAGCGACGATAACTGGAGAGAAAAGGTAACAGTGCGTGAGTCTCGTCAGCATGTGTCTTATTTGCTTTTAAAACATTCTATTTGTTAGAAGACTATTCCAGATAGATTTCTTGGCTTCTGTACACACTTTGGACTCCCTCTGGAATTTCCCACTCCAAACACATTTATTATATGTGTATTTTCCAAAACATTAGACAGCATAATGAGAAATAGAAAATAAGAACAGATTTTGAAATCATGTAACGTTAAGATGGTCCTTGGTTCTCATGCAGAAGCATAATTTTTACTTTTAAATGTTTACCTTTCTTTCAACATATCAGGCCGTGCATTTGGTTGCACTGTTTTTTAAATTTATTTTTATTAGTATGTATGTGGTACATAATGATTGCATTCATCACAGGAAGTTGTCATATGTACATAACCCATCTCAATTCCTTTTATGTCCCCCTTTTTTCCTCCCCCTTCTCAGTTTAAAACAGGGAAATATTAATTCTTTTATTTTAAAGAAAAAGAAACAAAAAGCCAAAAAGCACATAAACCTAAAAACAAAATTCCAAAACAATATGCCAGGAGGGTAACAATGGTAAACACATTGCACACTGTTATCCTTAAGTTAGCTACTCAGAATAAAAGATATCAGCATTGAATTGTCCAGACACTATCAGCAGCATATCTATCTTAACTTTTTTGCATATACATATATATTATTTCTTTTTCCTTTTGGTTTTCCTTTTCTTATTTCATCCCATTCCCCTAAAAGAGTCTCTCTTTTGTTTTGAAGTTTCTTCCCACTTTATGCTACTACTGTAAATTCTGGATCACATTTGCTTTTTCAGCTTCTCACACTAGGGAGCCAATACAATGTTTACACATTTGTGTCTCCTTTATTTCATTTATGAGGATAAACTCAAATTGCATCCATTTACCTATAGAAGTCTCCAGGTTATCCTTCTTTATGCCTGAGTAATACTCCACTGTATAAAAATCCACATCTTGTTTATCCATTCCTTGAGTGATGGGCATTTGGGCTGTTTCCAAGATCTAGCTCTGAGAAATTAGGCTGGTATAAACATGGGGGCACATATTTCTCTGTGGTACAATGTTTTTAACTCTTCTGGGAAGATACCCAAAATGGGACTAGCTGGGTCAAGTGGGGCCTCCAATTCTAGTTTTCTGAAGACTCTCCACACTACATCCACAGTGGTTGCACCAGTCTACACTCCCATCAACAGTGGAGAAGGGCTCCTTCAGCACTGGTTGTTGGCTGATTTCCTGATGATAGCCATTCTTTCCTGGGTGAGATGAAATCTTAATGTTGTTTTAATTTGTGTTTCTCGAAAGACCAGTGCTGTTGAACATTTTTCATATATTTGTTTTCTGCTTATATTTCATGTCAAAAGTGATTATTCATCTCTGATGTCCAATTTTAGATTGGAAGGTCTTTTTTTTTTTTTTTTTAGTTCATTATACATTCTTGATAGTAAGCCTTTGTAAGCCTTTGTCTGCACAACAGCTGGCAAACATTTGTTTACACACAGATACAACTGTGGGTTGTATGTTCACTCCTTTGGTGATTTCTCTTGCTCTGCAAAAGCTGTTTGGTAAGACAGATCCCAGTTGTTAATTCTATGTGATAGTTCCTGTGTAACCGGTGTTTTATGCATAAAATCTTTGCCTACACCAGTTTCTTCAAGAGTTTTACCTATTCTGTCTTCCATCAGATTTAATGTTTGTGTTTTGATATTTGGATCTTTGATCCATTTTGAATTTAGTTTAATGTGTGGTGAAAGATATGCATCCAATTTTAATTTTTGACATGTGCAAAGCCAGTTTTTCTAGCACTATTTATTAAAGAGACCATCTTTCAGTGTGTTTGGACCCTTTGTCAAATGTAAGGTGGCTGAGTGTATTTGTGGTCCTCTCTGCAGCTTCTAATCTGTTCCATTGATCTTCAAGTCTTTTTTTTCAGTACCACACTGTTTTTTAATCACAGTAGTTTTGCAGTGTCATTTTAAGTCAGGGATTGGGATGCCCCTGAATTTCCTTCATTGCTAGAATTCCCTTTACTATTCTAGGTCTTTTAGAATTGCCTTTACTATCCTAGGATTTAAATGAATTTTAGAGTTGTTTTCTCTAATTCTGTGGGATATTTTGTTGGAATTTTTATTGGAATTGTATTAAATCTGCATAGCAGTTTTGGAAGTATGCCCACTTTTACTATATTTGTTTTTCCTACCCAGAAGCAAGGAATGTTTTTCCATTTTCTGATTTACTCTTCAATCTTGTTTTTCAGAGTACTGTAATTGAAACATAGAAGTCTTTACATCATTTTATTAGATTGATTCTGAGGTATTCAATTTTTTGGATGCTATTGTGAAAGGTGTTGTTTCCCTAATTTCTCTCTCAGTGAGTTTGTTATGTGTGTATAGGAAGCTGCTGATTTTTGAATGTTGAGTTTGTATACAAGTATGCTATAGAGGGCCAGCCAAATAGCTCATCAGATTAAAGCACCTGCAAGCAGGTACAGGGGCTGGGGGTTTGATCTCCAGTCCTGCTGTGCCAGCCGCACCCCCGGGGCAAGCTGAGACAACAGTTGAGACTAGGCATGGTGGTACATACCTCTAATCCCAGCTCTTGGGAGGCTGTGAACAGGTAGATTACTATGAGTCCAAACTAGTGAGAATCTGAACACCCTGTAGAACCTTCCCTAAAATGCATTAAAAAAAAAGACCCCTAGATCCAGCCGAGCCCCAGGCGCTGCAAGTGTGGGAAAGCTTCACACTCCAGGTAACCTGCGCTTGCAGGACCTCTCCGGACCAAAACTCAGGCACGCCATATGAGTGACGCCCTCTACCGAGCCCTCGGGACCCCTCCACCCCTCCAGAGTCCCCACCCCCAAGCCCTCCCAGTGAGTGAGAACTTCTGCAACGCTCTCAGGACCCTCTGATCCAGCCCAAGCCCAGGCCCGACTACTGTGTGGGAGAGCTACACCCCCCAGTGCCCCCCTGGGCCAGGGCCACTACAGAGGGGCACAACAGGTTCATTGTTGTGTCAAAGGGGTACAACAGTTTCACTTCCAAGGGCTGAAACAGGAAGGAGCTGAACATAACACCTAGACCCAAGCCAGGCATAACTGGATAAACTCGAACTTAATAGATCTGCA